CATTTCCAGGTAATAAATTCGAGTCAGTTTTAACTACTCATATTATCGACAATAACTCTAAAGCTTATGAACGGTCGCAGATGGTCGTATAATTCTTGACAGAGATAAAGTCACAAACATTAAAATATCCTCTGGCACTGCTTGGCACTAGGTTCGGAAACGCATTTCTCTTTTTTGGGAAAATAATATGTATGAGTTTTATATGCGAACATTTGTATTATTATCTTCAAATTACTGATAATTTTCACTTCCATTATGATCACCAGTCCCTTCGGTTTAATTGGCCGCCATTCCTGTTCATAGTATGACGCATGCTAATGTTTTATAACATTTTTGAAACATAAATCATAATAAGAAATTTTGATTTTGACCTCATGTCATTTGTAAACCTTGACCGACAATATTATAAACTTTTACTGGTGTAAAGCTCAAAGTCCCCAGATTTCAAATATATAACGTTTTAGCGTCAATTGAGTCGAATAAGTTTGTTAAAACACAGATCGAATTTATTATGCGGAATAACACCCCCATTTGATTCAAAAAATAACTCCATTGATAAGAAACAAATCTGCTTCCGATTGAGCTTCCATATTTTTTTTTATTATTATTTTTTTATTGCAATTCATTTATACATTTTACTTTTGAAGCCCCAGCGCCAAATAAGCTTTATAGGGGCAAAACTGGCAACCATCAAAATTACATTTTATATAAAATTATGTTTATGAAATTTAGAAAAAAAGGTAATTACGAAAGAAGTGTGTCTATTTTTGTCAATAAATATTTTTTCAATTTAGTTTTAAAAGAGGAAATAGAATTTGAGTTTCTTATTTCAAGCGGCAACTTGTTGTATTCACTTGGCCCAGCAAAACCAATCCGCTGCTTAGTGGTCTCAAAACGACACCTGACAACATGAAGTTGGTCTGATTGACGCGTATTTCTTGCAGTTCTCTCAAAATTACCGGCAAACTCTATTGATCTTACACCTGTGTTCCTGGTAGACTTGAAAACATACGTTAATATTTGCTGCATATATAATCCTCTTATCGGCAGAATAGTTTTGAGTTTGCGTCTAAAAAGTTGCAGGGAAGAATAACGCCGTGGTAGATTTAAAACAATTTTTAATGCAGTGTTCTGTGCTCGTTGCAGTTCTTTTATCGATCTATTGTTTTTATAGGCATATATTCCTGGTAGATACGTAAGATGAGAGTGAATCAATGCTTGATATATCAATAGCTTGCTATCTGTACTCAACAAACGATTAAACTTCCGCAGAATCCCTGTTGCAGAAGAAACTTTAGCTTTAACATTTTCAATGTGAGAATTCCACATCAAATTATTGCTCATAGTTATACCCAGATATCTAATCGAGCTTGATTCATTAACAGGAACTCCATCTATGTACACGGACATAACATCTCCACCTATGTGAGGTCTAAAACGAATAAATTTAGTTTTTGACGAATTTAGCACCAACTTATTTAGCCTGGCATACTCGGCCAATAAGCATGAGTCGTATGCAACTTGCACCTGCAGCACTTTCTCATCCATGTACTTGTAAAATAGGCTCACATCATCAGCATACATCACAAGTTTACCAAAAAACTGCATATTCTTTAAATCTTTTATATAAAGTTTGAACAATAATGGACCGAGAACACTTCCTTGCGGAACACCATTTCTCACGCTTACCCAGCTACTTTCTGTGTTGCCGACAAACTGAAAACGATTGTCCAAAAAGTTTTTGAAAAACAACAAAGTATCCGGTGCAAATCCAATACGTTCCAATTTATTAATTAATATCGTATGATCTACAAGATCAAACGCCTTGGTGAAATCATAAAATACTCCAGCAACTCCTTTGAATCCGGAATCTAGTTCCTTACAAATATGCTCAACAATATGAAATACAGCTTCATCAGTCCCACAGGCTTTTCTAAAACCAAATTGATTGGCAAATAAAATGTTGTTCTCCTCGATATATGTTGTTATCTGCTCAGAAATGATTCTTTCCAAAACTTTGTCAAGCACTGATAAAACAGCAACAGGTCTAAAATTCGTGATACTATTCGAACTTGTTTTCTTGGGTATTGGTATCACTTTATGAACCTTCAATATGTCAGGATATTTTCCGGTCGCAATCATACTATTGAAAATTCTGTGCAATACATCTGTTACCTCGGATTTCCTTACCAACAACATCCATGGTCGTATATTGTCAAATCCGCAGCTTTTCCTTGGATTTAACGCCTCAATTTCATTCAGTATACGAGTTCTATCAACTGACTGTAAAGAAAATCGACCGGTTTCCATTGGAAGTGTCCTGAAAACATTAATATTGTCGTCATTATGGTGTTGCATGCCTTCCCTTAATTCTTCAACCGAATGATCAAAATACATGTTCAGTTTGTTGGCTTTTTCAATATCTTCTGTTACAGTATTTCCATTCCCATCGACAATGTCTCCAAGTGGTTTTTTTCTTCTACCTAATTCATTGTTTAGAAATTGCCAGATTTTCCTTACGTCACCGTTGCATGAGCTTATATTGCTTCTATAGAACTCGTTCCTTAGGCTTCTGCTGCAAAATTTGATAACATTGCTTATCCGCTTCAACTGATTTCTAATACTTGGATCATTTTTCCTTCTGCGTCTCAAATAAAGCAACATTGTTTTATGTTCAATCAAAGAGGCCAGTTTATCTGTCAACCAAGGAGCAATACTTTGTCGTCTATTAACAAATTTCGTTGTAACTTCTGTACTTTTACAAACACCAGTTTGTATTATGTCAACAAACTTTTTACAAAGTTCAGACGAATCATCAATTGCCGTTAACATGCTCAAGTTGGTGTCCAAATATTCTGTAAACTTAGCATGGTTCACTTTTTTAATAATTTCGGGCAAATCCTCTTGATATACGTTACTTCTTATAAAACAACTTAGAATGTTATGATCCGACAATTCGTTTTCTATACTGTGAACCACAATATTGCTGCTATAGTTGCTAAATACCCAATCTATGCTCTTCTTAGAAATAGGACGCGTAATATGATTATGACAAGAATACATATTATAAGCACTCAAAAGATAAATCAGGGATTTTTGATGTTTTATTGTAGTGAAGAAATCAACATTCATATCACCGCAAATAATTATAAAACCTGAATTCAAACGTTGCAACACAGTATCCATTTTCTTAATAAAATCACCCACACTGCACTTTGGGGATCGATAACACGATGCTAATATTAATTTCGAGTTGTATAGAATAGTTCCAGGAAATTCAACGGCTATAACATCAACGTTGTTCTCACTTTCATTAAATAATAATTTGTAATTTAGAGATGATTTCATAAAAATCGACGTACCTCCATATCCATCTGATCTGTCACAATTGACGACATTGTAACCATCAATTCGGTAAATATTTAAAAATTGGCTGCTGAACCAAGTTTCCTGGACTGCAATTACTTCAGGTAATTTCTGAAGATTATATATCTCATTTTTAAATTTATTAAATTTTTCTATTGATGACACACTTCTAGCGTTTACAGATATAATATTAAGACAGTTCTCATATTTATTTTCAACAACATATTCATTATAAAAATCTACATTTTGAAAATATTTGGAACCCATATTAAATTAAGTGGAATTTTAAATGTATTACTAAGTATATAAAATCAATTTGGTGAGTGAAACACATCTTCATCATCATTTTCTTCATCATCAGAATCTTCCTCCTCCTCATCATCATCGCTTAACTCAACCTCAATTAATTTGCGCTCATGTTTGCCTTTCGATACCACTTGCTTTAAAAGATCATCAACGTCACCCATCGATTTCAACCGTATCTGTTTTGATTTTTCATCCTTCTTTGCAAAAACTTTCCCTCCATGTGTATAAATAAACTTGTACCCAACAGCTTTTAAGGATTTTGCGTGGTGAAAAACTTCCATTGTATCTTTAGATACAAAATCATTAATGTATACTGACTTTGTTTCTAGTTGTTCTCTCAATTTCTTCTTCTCCTGCATAAATTTCAACTTGGTTTTGTTGTTAACAAATTTAACAACAACAGTTTTTGGGCTTGCTTGGTTTTTCTTTTTCAAAAAATATGCATCTTCTACATCATCTTCGACAATCTTTGCTCCAATGGTATTTGCTACGGCAATAACAACATCAATGGGCTTAGTTTTATCATCAACTGTAATACCATTGATAACACAGTCATTCTGCAAACGTACTTCGTTTAAAAACGTTACCGTCGATTGCAACTTTTTCACGTCCTCTTTGAGAGTTGCATTCTCTTTTTTTAAGCATTTGATTGTTTTTGTATTTTTCTTCACACCTTTTAAAATGTCATCATACTGAGATGACATAAAACTCATTGTTTTTTTCAAGTCTCTCATCTCCATAAGAATAGCTTTTATATCTGCATTATCAATGTTACTCGGAGCGCAGTATTGACACTTGAAAGGGAGAGAGTCGTCTTTCCACAGTTTCTCCATTTCCACTTTATTCAGTTGAGTGCACTGAGAGTGGAGAGTTTTTTTTGCATATATCGCATTCTAAGAAGTCGTCGTTTTCCAACACTTCAGTTTTACAATGCGAACACATAACTTTTTTCTTTTTATTTGCAAGACTTTTGCGTTGTTTTCCAGCCATACTTCAACACACACAAATAAAAACACAGCCTCTGAAGATATTTCTTTATGTTTAAATTAACCGCTCAATGTTTTTGTATACAAAAATTATTTTTTTAAGGAGAGCACAATCAAATCACTGAAATGACGTCTATTCCGTATCAGGGTTGCCAACTCGTTTTTTATTTATTATCGATTGATTTAACTTAACGAAATTTCGTATGTCTTACTGAATAGGGTCGGGATAGATGTGCGTCAATTTTGCTTTAAATCTGTTTAAATGTCTGTTTTGCATTCGAAATAATATATTAAACTTTAAAAAAAAAATTTCAGGGTTTTAATTTTTATTATTTCTTATATTTATGTAGACACCCGCTTCTTCATTCCAAGTTGCATACCAGTTTCTGAACGTAGTATAATTCCGATTACAGGTTTAATATCTTCGCCCAGAGGCAACAGCTCATATTCGCGTAGTATTTTACAAAGGGCAATTTTCATTTCCAGCATTGCAAAGCGTTGACCAATACAATTTCGAGGACCAGCACTAAATGGTATATTACTAAATGGTTTAGAATTAGTCGAATTTCTGTGTCGATCGGGTATAAATTCAGCGGGATTGTCATAAGCTTGAGGATCTCTCATTGTATGGTATACCAAAAGGAGGACTTGTGTTGAATCTGGAAGAATGCCATCACCAAAACGAGAGTGAGCTGAAATTCAAAAGAAAAGTGGAACTTTTAAAGAAAACCGCCAAATAGCTTTGAGATATTTGACAAATTACTGTAATTGAAATCGTTGATAATTTCACGGCTAATTACTGGTACTGGCGGATACAGACGCAATGACTCCCTAATTACACATTCCATATACTTCAAGTTATTTAATGTGGCCATGGCGAATGGTTCGGCATTTGTTTCGCCAAAAACTGTATATATTTCAGAAAGCAGCCGTTTCTGTACTTCAGGATGACGTGAAATCAGATGCAGGGTAAAAGAAAGTGCAGTCATTGTTGTATCATGACCCTCAAACATAAATGTATCCACTTCTTCGCGTATATCTTCATTTGACAATGGTTGGCCATCCAGTGTTACCTGCAATAGGACATCGAGTAGAGCCATATGTTTCCTTGCCCCAATGTTATTGGCATCATGATTCTGTTCGATATTTTGTTCAGATCTTAAACTTTTCTCCAGTGATTGTCGTCGTTCCTCGATAACATTTGTTGTAAACTTGTGCATCAATTTAATGAGTTTATTTTGTCTTAATTTTTTCCATGGACATAAAATGGAAAACATGGTTTCGTCATGCAGATGTGCTCGTATACAACGCCAAGACACCAGGTCTGTCATCCTTAAAAACAAATTATCAATGAATATTGGAAGGGTATGGGCTCAGTATTTTTGCAGCGCTTTATCCCGAGTTTGAAAACAAAACAAGTGTAATAAAAAGGGTGGTATGCCATATTAGAACATATAAATATTTCAATATATCTTGCATATCAGTCATATATAAATATCGATTATAAAGGCTATTTTTATTTTATTTTTAAAACTGACCATATCACATTTAGATATATTTCACATAAAATTTGTCTATTACACTATGCGACAAAATTAAGTTCATTGCCGCTAATTTTAAAAGGCTATCATTTCCAAAGAAAAAATTTTTGTTACTCAGTGTGGTAACTTTTAATTAATAATAATTTCTGCCGTATTCAATACTCACTCTGTTACAGCCATTGTATATGGCATACTTTTATCCGTCTGAGCATGGACATTGACACCCATCGCCGACTCCGTTATAATATCCAAGGTAGCCGAAGAAATGTAAGACATAACGTCAAACGCTGACCTACCATCGGCTCTCTCCGATAAGCAATTAACCAACACCGTAGATTGTCTATCGAAAACCTCTAAAAATTGTTCCAATATTGCAAAATGAAATGTCGGTGTTATAATTTTACGACGGGTATGCCATTTTTGTGAATCACTTATTAATAGACCAGTTCCAAGCCACGGTTTTAAATTGTTATACAAACTTGATTTTCGAATTTGGGTGGGGTGAGAGAGAAGTTGTTCAACCAATTCTGCGTCTTTTGTTACTATATACAGGCGATCCAATACCCAGGCTCTAAAAGTACTTCCATACAAATGCAGCAATTCATTTACTTTTTCCAGTATTTCTACAAAAATTAAGGAATGAACTGTAAAAGAACTATACATTGAAATATAACACATAATATACACCCTAATGCCCTTAACTTAGGATTAATGTCCAATTCAAATAGCGAAATACAATACGAATACGCCATAATTTTAAAACCTATGGGCAATTATGAAACCTATTTACCAAAAATTTCTTGTCAATAAACATAAACATTCCTCCTCCTTCTTTGTATTTGAAGTATTTTCCAGCAGAAGGGTTTTAATTTTGTATACCGATTTCCTCTGATTTGTTTTAATATCTTATGTAAGTGTAATCATTTCCCGCATAAAATTATTTAGGCGTATAGATTCGAAATCAACATATTTTTTTAATATTATTCTACCTTTAAATTAGTTCACCTCTTACTTGTAGGCTTCACAGTTGTTGCCTCTGCGACACAACCCAAAATGGGAACAGCGTAAGGACCAGAAATGTGTTCTATGTGTTTGCTACGATTTTTTGTTGTGATATAGATTCGTAACGCCCATACGAATAGAACAATAATAAAAACCACAATGAAATAAGCCATTTCGGTGGCGAATAAAAACTGAACAGCCACACTGATAATATGCATATTATATAGCCAATATTTTTCACTTTTAAATAAACACTTATAGTATTTAATAAATATTATTGTTTGAATAAATTAATTTAAGAGTTTAATCCCATCTCAATAGATCAGTGTATAAGGTAATGGTAGCCTCTATTAGATTTTCTTACAGCACGTGTTTTCACGGTTCAAAATATTTAATTTACCCGTAATCTTTGAAAATATACTCGAAGAGTAAAATATTGCACAAATAAGTATATGTATAATTTAATGATATGAGTTCACAATCAAACAAGTTCTAATCGAACAATTATTGGCTAATGAGGGTAAATACGCCTTGCTACGACAAGGTCATATTTCTAGACTGGCCATATTTTGGTGAAAATTATTTTTTATATTATCATGGGATTTCAACCAAACTTTGTAGAACGAAATATTTTTACTAACCATGTATAATGTAGGAGGGTGGGACATAGCGGTAGTACATCCCCGACCAAAAAGTAACATTTTTGAAGGTAAGTAAATCACCTACGCAATAAATTGCATCCAAAATTTGTACATTGTAATATTTTGACCATATTTAACGTAATAGTGCAATCATCGGTTATATGGGTCCATCATCTCTGGCATCCCCCACAAACTTATGAAAAAGTATATAGTTAACAAAAACTACTCACCCAATACAAATGTCCCGCCCAATTTTTGGTATTTTAAAGTTTGAATTTGTCTTGTGTCTCATTTTCGTCCTGATTATCTTTAACCATAAATTAAATATCACAGAACAAGATTTCAGATCGTCCTTTTTCACTCTTTTTTTTTCCGATCCTAGCTCACGATCCTTGTATCTACGAACACTATATAATTTTGTTAAAAATTATAGAATAGGAAGAACAGTCGGACTAGTATGAAATGTTAACCACTAACAAGTAAGAACGAGGATCGCCAAAAACTAAAATATATGGGGAATACAAGCAGAAAACTCATGTTATGATCCAATATTCTTAAAATACCTACTTGGGTCAATATAAATAATGTTTAGTGCGGAGATATGGTAATCCTTTATGAGAAACCAAAATACCAAATTACGTGTAAAAATCCCCGTATTGGGGGTTACCATATTATGGAGTATTTTATTAAGTATTTTTGTTACGGATATGTTTTATTCAATGAGAACTGAAACTCAAAATACCAAATAATAGCCAGAGATCCCATATTTTGGCTGAGTCCTGTTGGAATGTCCAAGGTCGATTAATACGAGCGGAGAGCGACCATCGGCTGTTATGGCGACCCACACCATCACTATGGCGCTGCTGGACAACGAATGTTTTCTCATCATAGAAAACCAAATTCGGCATTTCACCACTTTCAACCAATCGAATCAACTCTTTAGCTCTTTTGAGTCTATTTTCATTCTGTTGCGGTGTAAGTTCTTGCACTTTTTGGAATTTCAATGGCTTAACCCCGAGCTCATTTTTCAATATTTGCTGAATGGAATACTGCGATATGTTCATCTCACGAGACATTTTTCGGCCACTGCGCCGGGTGTTTCGATCAAGTCGCTTCTTTATTTGTCGAACCATTTCTGCTGATGTTGTCTTCCTTCCACTTCCTTGGCTTCGAGCTACGCTACACAAAAGATTAATTCACATTTACATGCTGGAGTGCTCTAAATATAAAGAAAATTCTTACCACAATGCTTTTGTACGCTTGTAAACAATATAATGAGCTGTCACTGGAATAATTTAACAGCTGTCGGACGAGTGGCTTAGAAATGACAGCAGTCGGAAGTTTGTTACAGTTTTTTCATCTCAACCTGTAAATTGGGCGGTACGAGCTATACCAATTGGTGTATCTATAATAAAAATGTTCTGTTAAACAGTTGTTCACCTACCAAAACCCTGGCGAATTACACTAAAACTTTAAAATATCGATAATGGGTCAGACTCTTTCAATACATTTTTCAATGTACATATATACAAAATTTCGAAGCTCAATCTCAATTCCGTCGATAGATAATTTAATAATGATATTAAAGTGTACAGATATTTTGAATTGCTACAAACGGAATGACAAAGTTAATATACCCTCAAAATTTTCCGGAGCAAGGGTAAACAAATTAAATAAATGCTGATATCAGAATATAATTCTTTCAGAATATAGTAACTAAGGTTAGTAATGCATATAAAAATATTCTTGATACGTGTTGTCTATAACCACAACTCGGCTGTGAATAATAAAAATTATAGCGAAAATGATTCACCGCCACGCTGGATAAAAGCTTCGTTTTTTATTTGCCACAAAACCGAAACACAACCCAACCAAAACATTTCAGTCTTTATTTTGTATTTCTAATCTCCACAATGTCTGGTGTTTTTGGCGAGGAATTCAAACAGAATTGGCCTCTGATAAGCATAAATCTCAAGCTGTCAAAATTCGGTCAAAAACTAATTGAAAAAATACGTTCAATAGAAAAGGCTCAAACAACAAATATTGACGTTGCCGAATTTATAAAGAAATCATACGATTTTCCCATAGATGTGAGTAAATTTAGTGCAATTTTTTCTAATAACAATAACAACAAAAATCGTTTTTTAGTTTCCTATTCAAAGCTGTCGCGTTAAGTCACAACCTCAAGAACATTATCCAATTATAAAGCAACAGATTGCTTCGGCTTATCCGGTGATACATGAAAAAGTTATTATATTAATAATCGATTTTTTGGAGCATAAACTTAAATATGGTAAGGATAGATTGAAAATCCAAACATATGACAATAATAAAAACTTTATCTGTTATGTATTCATTTACTGTTATAAAAGATGTCAACATATACAGTGGCGTGCAAAAGTGTATGAATGTTTGTACATTTTCAACTAAAATGTCGATAAAATTGTTCTAGCTAAAATATTTCAACGAACATTTGAATATTTGTTCAATATTTGTAAGATTATATCGTACAAAAAATAATACAAATAACAATTACAACTTTGGTTATCGTGAACGATCGCAACAAATGACAGCTCGTACACTTTTGCTCGTTTTGGTGGTTGATTTAGTAATAATATTAAAATACACAAATGTGGATCAAACCGGATACTGAAATCGATTCATTTGAGGTCCCATCTTCAGACTTGATCGATGCTTAGTGAAACTATTAGAATTTACAACGTTTGGATCAATTTGAATTCCCAACCGGCTTCATAAGTAATTTACGAGAATTAGGCCAATGTTTTGACATAGGCATCATTCGACGAAGTATTTTATATCCTATGCCGATTAGAGCATGTCCGTCCGACTGTCTGTCTTTTGAAATAACGATAGAACACTGACATTTTACACAGACCTTGATAATACTCCTAGGATGTTTTGTATTATTAATATTAACCCAAGTCGTCATTCTGAGAATTTTGGACCCGTTTTTTAACCGAATTGGCTGTAATTTGGTATTTTGTATTCTCATTGACTGTCAAATCTTACTACCAAAAATAATTCCAATCATCTTTTTCTCAGGTAGTTTTCGGTTTGTGCAAGGTCATATCATAACATGAGTTTTCTCCTAGGAGCCTCCATTAATTTTGATATTTTCATAGTCATCCTCATGGTGGAGGATATAAAAAGTTCGGCCGGCCTGAACATAATAGCATTTACATTTGAGGACTTTTTTTATATTTTGAACGGTTCGACCCAGCTGATTTTTGTTCAATCTTGTTCATTATTTACGACATATTAATATCTTTTATCACAATCATTTATCTAAAAAAACTATTTCTTTTTAAACGCCAAAATAACGACTCATTTATATCCCATTTTTGCAGGATCTCAAATTGAAAAACGCCTTTACAAAGGCATGACTATAGCCGAATTTATTCATAGACTTTTAACAAAGCGGTGTGTAAGTTTCTATGGTGAAAATGATAATTATTTACTGCTAGATGGCAATAGAGGATGTGGAACAATGAATTATGCACAAATCGGATCCAAACATGAGACACCTCCATTAATCTTAAAGAATGTGCTCAGCTATGATGAAATTAAGGTAACACAATTCCACTTCGGTACCATATGGCCGTTTTTAATGACTGTGATTTCTTCAGATTTCGGCTTTTGTTTCAGTTTCCTCATACAGCGATTTCATTAACGATGGCAAACGAACAAAAACCAAAGGTGAAGGTATTGTGATGGGCATAATTGGTGCAAGATTAGAACGCCAAGGTGTAATGGAGTTCCAAGATATAATTATATCCGAAAATCAAAATATTCTAAAAAATGGTTATGGTCCGAAAAGTATAGAAATTAAAGCACCAAAAAAATCTCTATTGAAAATGTTAAATTTGCGAAAACGTAATGCATTGAAAAAATTGCAAGATTATCGCCGTATATGGAATAAATTCTATGAAGAAAATGATCATCTCCACGAAGATGTTGTAAAAGAAAATAATAATCCACGATATGGCAATTCATTAAATTCTTTGCTAAAAGTTGACTATTTAATTATGAAGAAACGCTATGCCATAGCAATTGATATGTTATTGTTAGAGTCAGATAATCGAGCCAAATTAGCGGGCAAATTAGCCTACATTCACATGGAGGATTTTTGGATTTGCGGAGTGTGGCTTGCTGAGCACCAGGAGAGCATTTTTGTGGAAACTATAAGTCAACGTTTAAAATATTTATTGCCATATTTGAATAATATTGGGGTCGTTCATTTGGGCTGTTTCAATTCGAATGAATGGGGAGATTTGAAAAATGGAGGTATCTTCAAATCGGATTATCATCCTCGTGGTGGCATCAAAACAATTATATCAAATGTAAGTTCTGAAAATTAAAATTTTTCCAACATTCTGATATTTGATTGTACATTTTAGCAACCCCCTGATTATGACAATATGTTGTTGATAGTTACCTACGCTTGGAATGCCAATGCCTTGCCAGGTAATGAATTTTGGATGGTAAGTTGGTAGTGCGTATAAAAATACAACTACATATTGATTTCCCTTTTTTAATTTCAGAGAAAACTTGAAGACTCCAATGATGCCTCCACAGCCTGCAGTACTTTAATAAGTGAGCTCCATAATCCCCACATTAATACGGAATTTGTATGCGGCAATAATTTACACGTTGCCTGTGCCGATTATGGAATTTTACATATTAATGATTATGTAGATAAATGTTTAAGCTCCAATATATAACCAGATGTTTAAAACAGGCATGCTCGGCCATTCACGCTACCGTAACTGAGTGTCGATGGTTAACACGCATTCTCTTTTTTCTCTTTTCTTCAGTCGGTTTTAATTATGATTTCTCAGTTACGCTCACCCACACTTACGCTCAATTTTGTTATGCCCACCACTGGTTTAAAATTATAACCAGATTACAGGTGTTTCCTTCACATGTGACGACAATGCTACTTTAATGAATTTTGGTACACAGATTATGAAAAAATAAAGGTTTTTAATCCGATCGTTATTTTATTTGAGGTTGAAAATAAAACAGAAAGGCATTCTCTTTTAAATAAATTACCAAACTATTGAGTAGTAAAAATTAAATGACCTTGATATGGGGATCTGTATTAACATCAACTTTTGTTAATAAATTATGCTAAATCCTTCGAAATGTCGAAAACGTATCGAATGCAATTATAACCTATGAGTGCTCATTTGATTGTCCCAGACGTAATATATGAAATGACTCTTGGTTCTATGTAAGAAAAAATGTCTCTACAGTTGGAAGATGCGACTGGGGCTATAAAACTACTTAACTTGGACAGGAACTTTATAAGGGGTTAAGTAAAGATGAGAATGGACCATGGACAATAAAAATTCGAAAAAAGGCGGAGTGGATATAGACTTCTCTCAAATTATTTCAATAATAAAGAAAAGACAGGTGTTCTCTCTTTTCTTTTTTCAATATGTTTCTTTAAAAAAAGGAATAACATACCCGTCTCCGAACGTAATATAATACCAATGACAGGTTCAACATCTTGACCGAATGGCAACAGTTCGTACTCGCGAATTTTACAAAGCATAATTTCCAGCATTGCATATCGTTGACCAATGCAATTTCGAGGGCCCGCTCTAAATGGTATATAAGTAAATGGATTTTTGATGGACGCGTCTTTGTGCCGGTCTGTAGGTCGATTCAGTAACTTATAACGATCCGACAATCGACAATTTTGTCTACACATAAAATCGTTTGCAGTAACGAACATGTTATTCTGTAAAAATGTAGACAAATTGTCAATAAACTTTCAAAAAGCTTTTAATTTGGAACATTTTGAAAACAACATACACACAAATTATGAACAAAACATGGCATGTTCAATATTGAAGAATATTTGTCGATAAGTTAACTTCGAATTTTTTGGTGTTGTTTATTAACAACATTTTTAACAATTGTTGTTAAAAACTGTTATAGAATTGAAATATTGTTTATTTTGTCGTTATAATATTTTATCGATTTGAGAATTGGTTAAATTTGATAGTGAATCGACCCACTGGTATAAATTCCGATGGATTGTCATAATATAAGGGATCTCTCAATAAGTGGTATATTGAAATAAAGACTTGTGTCGATTGGGGAATAATGACATCGCCTAAACGTGAGTGATCTGAAATTGTATAGAATAAGTAGAGGGGGAGGAAACAATTATTATTTTTTTATTCTTGGACAACTTACTATAATGGAAATCTTCAATAATTTCACGACCAATAACAGGTGCTACAGGATATAGACGAAACGTTTCTTTTAAAACACATTCCATATACTTCAATTCATTCAGCTTGGCCATTGTGAATGGTTCGACATTTGTTTCACCAAAAATTGTATACATTTCGGACAGCAGCATTTTCTGGACTTCGGGATGCCGTGACACCAAATACAGGGCAAAACTAAAAACGGTCGTTGTGGTGTCATGACCTTCAAACATAAATGTATCAACTTCCTCGCGTATATCCTCAGATCGGTCAATCTAAAAAATAAAATGTTTAAAAAATGCAGTATAGTTAAACGGGCCCAACCATAGGGGTCCTGTCATTGTTCATAACCTTTCAATTTTAATTCCTTTCAGTTAATACTCACTCTTTTACTGCCATTACATATGGCATTGATTTATCCGTTTGAGCGTGGACATTAACACCCATGGCTGATTCCGTTATTATATCCAGAGTTGCGGCACCAATATAGGGCATAACATCAAATGTTGTCCTACCGTCGGCCTTCTCGGACAAACAATTAACCAACACCGTTGACTGACGATCGAAAACCTCCACAAATTGCTCCAATATTCTAAAATGAAATGTGGGTGTTATTATTTTACGACGTGTGTGCCATTTTGTTCCTTCGCTTAATAAGAGGCCCGTTCCTAGCCATGGTTTTATCGTATTATATAAAATGGATTTTCGTAATTGTTTCGGGTGAACTAAAAGCTGTTCAAAAAATTCAACATCTTTGGTTACTATAAACAGACGATCCAATACCCAGAATTTGACAAGATTTCCATACAATTTCCAGAATACATTTCCTGTGTTTATTATTTCTAAAATAAGGGAAAATAAAACAGAAATAGTATTATGATTTTATTTCTTAGTAAAAACTTAATGTTCAACATAATGCGTATACAGGATGATACATTGATTATAGTCAACCTCCAATTTGTCGATACATTTACAACAAGGTAGAATATACCCATTGATACGACCATAAATGAGCCTTATCAAAATATTAGTATTAACCCTTACTCTCTCTCCCTCTCTCTAACTGACATTAACTTAGAAGCTGACATATTCCTTAGTTACGTAGCTGGTTTGTGACAGAATGGTTGTTCCATAATCCAAGCTTCAAAAAGATTTCTAAACGCGTAGTTCATTACACGGCGATATTCTCCGTCGACGTAGATCGACCCATAGATCTTCCGGAGATTTGTTCTCTCAAACACTCCAATAGCTGTCTCATCTGCTTGCGCAAGTACCCATACTTCAGATACACACAGGTAATATCAGCGTCTTGTAGAGCGTGAGTTTGGTCTGGTGAGAGGTGGCCTTGCTTTTGAGTTGCTACACAGACCACTATTCTCCTCCGGATTTCAAAGCTGATGGTATTAGATTTGTTTATGGGGTACCAAGATATATAAAGTCTTTGACTACCTCGAAGCTGTATTTCTCATGTTCCACAGTTGGTCCGAGTCTACTGGCCGTCTTGCGTGTTAATACCATTGGCTTGGTCTTTTCGCCATTTACTACCAGTCCTACTTTGGCAGACTCCTTCTCAATTCGTTGAAAGGTGGTTAGTTATTGCCGCTTGCAATGTTCGACACATTATGTCGATGTCGTCAGCGTAGGCAAGTAACATATGCTGTTTCGTGTACAGAGTGACATTTCTGTTCACATTTGCATATCGTATGACCTTTTCCAGCAGGATGTTAAATAGGTCACACGACAAACTGTCACCTCATCTGAATCTTTGTTCGGTGTTGAAAGTCTCCGAGAGGTCCTTTCCGATTTTAACTTCTGACCTTGTGCCAGTTAAAGTTGTCCTACATATCCGTATAAACTTTGCAGGAATGCCAAACGCAAACAACGCCGAGGACTGCCGAATGCGGCTTTATAGTCGACGAATAAGTGGAATGTGTCGATGTGTTTCCGTAGGTCTTTTTCAGGATCGGGTTAATTGTGGATTTTCCATTGCATTGCACAGTTGTCGCAATCACAAAATTTTTGGCCAAAATTGTTTTTTTTAAGTTTCATATTTTTATAATTTTTTTGCGCGGAATAATAAAAAACACTTCAAACCATCCGAAAATAATTGGTTTTTCTAAATACCATTAATAGTCGCTCGTTGGTGTAATGGTAAAGTTGAAAAATTTTTGTATAAAAAATAGAACAGACTGTGTGCTGTAAAATATATACTTTTTGGTGTGCTGTGTGGTCGAATGGGTATACGAAATTCAGACCAAAGTTATTATGAATCTGGAAGCTGATAATAAGTGCTTTCATAATATATTAAGAAAGAACGAAGAAAGTTGTAATATCTGGGTAGGGAGATAAAAGTTTGTGTGTATATTGAAAATTATTTTTTACAAATATTTTTGAAATCTTCTTAAACTTTAGAAAAAATGTAAAAATATCGTCTCCTCCAAAAAATTTTTGGAAGCTGGCAGGGGTATGTACTATCATATTCAGATGAAATATTTTGCCTTATTTTTCCTTTTTTAGAAAAAAATGTATTTTTCTACTTTAAGTTGAGTGAAATTTTTTATAAATTGATGTTTTTATTGTATATAGTATTGAACTGAAAATGTGGGATAAAGACAAAGTTTCATCCGATTTTTCTTAAAATTGATATTTAAGGTTTTAATAGTATAAAAAACATTTCTGCAACATTTTTTGAAAATTGGCCCACACTGTGACATAGCCGTACCGTCCGATTTAAGATATTTTAAAGATTTTAGCGATATTATTTAACCGATTCGGCTCTAACTTTGCATTTTGACTTCATGGAAAGTATAAACTGTTTGTACCAAATATTTTGGTTAAGACCTCCCACAACGGCGCCTCACTATTTAATTAATTTTCGCTGTTTTTGGCGAAAATACATTTCAATTGATATTTTGGGACATTTGATTAACCTAGTAATCAATTTTAGTATAAAAACGTCGCACAGTTGCCCCGATTTTTGGCCAACATTATTTTTTTGAAAATAATTGGTTTTGCTAAAAAGC